AACTGAAACTGATTTCTCATGCTACACTTTGTGTAGCATAATGTTTACTTTAGCACCACTGGATATGGCAAGTTTTATACACAAATTCTGAGAAGGATACAATTCTGTCAGTGTAGTGCAATCATTGTGGGATTGTGACACAGTCAGAAAGTGGGTTTTTGTAAGCAATATTAAGGCAAGATGGCAAATGATAAGATCTGAAAAATAAAAAAAGGCTAAAAAGTCATTGTTGCTAGTAGTGTAGGAGCAAATGGATAATGCTAAGCTTGGGGGAACACAGGCCAGAATACCCACCAAAACTAGAATACAGCAATACCTACCAGAGTTATACAAATTCCAGTACAAGATAAAGGAACTATTACAGTACATGCAACTATTTATGGCAAACATGATCCGGCTGCAAACTCACACATACCAGCCCAAACTGTTTCATACCTGACTCCACCAAAAATTAAAAACATTTTGTATATATATTTTGTATTTCTTTCTAACACATCTTTAATGTTTGATCTCCTTAAAAATCATTTTAATCTCATTGAATGTTTTAGGCTTCCAAGGAAGTCCCATATTACATTGCTTAGTAGTTTCATTGTGTTAGCTTGTTTCAATATAGTTTTTATTCTTTGCCTTTCAGAACAGCAGTGTAGTCTTTCACAGATTATGCATTATTTCCTTAGTGGTAAAAGTATGCTTTGCAAATATGTATCAAGCACCAAGTTCCTAGACAAATGTCTAGCAGGTGGTCAATTTTGAACAAGGTCAAAATGATGTATGCATCTTTGAGAGCAGATCTAAATTCTGATCATGCTTTTTGTTCTCTATATCTAAAGCCTAATTTGTCTGCTGCCTTAAAACTTTAAGCATTACTGATCCAGACATGGTGTTATGTGTATTTAATTTAATTGTCTGCTAGTTTAAAGGTTTTTATTTCATTACATGTCATTGTAATGTAACAATGTTTACTGGACTTGACCTTGTCCAGCAATGAGTTCATTTCTGCTTGACCAGATTGACTTTTGTTGGGGTTTCTTTTCACTTTCATAAATAACTAAACATAGCTTCATTATTTTATATGTGTATGAGCTTATTAATAAAATTATTATTCAGGTAAACGTAAATATTTTGATCAGGATCAGGATTTTGGAGATTCCCACTGAATTTTATAGGTTATTGTGTTGTAAGTAAACAAGGCTCATTCTAGACCATTCTAGAAGTTTCTTTTCCATTAGGTAATGTTTGCTTTTAGAAAATGCTAATGTGACCTGAGATCAAGCAGAGAACTATATTATCTTGTGATCATGAAGATTTTACCAATTGTGTTTTAACATCTAGCACTTTAAGTTTAAAATATGTTGTGTCCAATTTGAGCTAAATTTTATTTTCTTCACATTATTGAATTCAGTTGATTATTTTCTCTGGAAATACAAAAATGCTCTGACAAAATTCTTGAATAAAGACATTCATTAGAATTTATATTGAAATGAAACCTGGAATAATTTTTATGTGATTCAACAAGACTGTCAACACATCAGCACTTCACTGACTATAACAGACACATCCTCGCCTTAAATTTTGGATCTCATCGGGACTTGAACTCAGTTTCATTCAGGACTTTATATTACTAGGACTTGTGTCTTTAAATCTTGGATTATTTTTGGATTTAATTCGCAATACAGTAAGTTCTCTTTTCTCATTTTTCACTTTGTATTCTAGGAAAATAAATTATTTAAGTTTTACAAAGCTTGTTGTATTCACTCTTTCCTGTTACTTATTTTAAGAGCAAACATTTTGCTTTCATGGGCTTACTGACTATTTCTTGTTAAATCCAACATTTTTAAAAGACAGTGAAGAAACAACTTTACTTTTTGTACCAAATGAATAAGATGCAACATGACTAAGTATAGTGTGCAGTTGAATTTCTTTCACTTCTTTCGTGTAGCATCTTGTAAACATTTGATATTCTGCTGTCAAATGTTTTTGATCGCTTCAGTGGCCTAAATGGATAGAGTATCCAGGGTCATGAATTCAAACCCCAGCCGAGTCATACCAAAGATTTATAAAAATGGTACTAGTATCTGCCTCACTTGGCTCTCAGCATTAAGAGGTTAATGTTACGACTGATTGGCCTTGCATCAGGATAATGTAACTGGGTGGGACATGATGCAGCATGATGTCCCAGTGCTTGACATCGCTATAAACTACCACAGTGCAGACATCATAGCAATATGACTGAAAAGTTGTCAAAAGCAATATTTATAATTCATATCACAGAATCACACTGTTATGAGTTTGCTTTCATATTTCTTGTGAGCATTTTACAAGTTCAACAGAACGCTGATCTTTTGGCTTTTGTGGCATTACCTTTTTGGGTTATTGGAAACCTTATTTTAATTTTCCTTTTTATCTTGTTTACTTTCCATTTTTAAGTACCAAAATTTGTACAGGTAACTAACTCAATATGATCTCAAAATATTAAAAATTTAATTTGTAAGTTATGTTTTAATGTAACTTTGAGTAGAAAAAAAAAGAAAATATGCCTTATCTGTGGAAATGTTAAAAAAATAAACTTAGATATGTAGAACTAGTTTGTAAAACTTTGTCATAAGAGTACTGCAAACAATTGAAACATGGAGAAAAGAAAATAAAATGCCAAAAAGTGCTGCTGGCAAAGATACAACATTGATGAAAATTTCTGATTAAGTAAAATCACAAGACTTTCAATTTTAAAAACATTAAAACAAGACATTAGTTAAAATACAACTGAGAATACTGAATGCTCCATCAAATGACTTTTACCATACAAGATTAATAAAACTTAAGGTGTTTGATGAAAATCAATTTTATACTGATCAATTAATTTCATACTGATCAATTAATTTCAAACTTGTCTTCAGATTATTTCCACTGGACAATTAATGCATAAATGATGGCCAGAAAAAAAAACTCATGGAAAATGGATGTGAGCAATACCCCAAAGTAAAGAGACATTAGAGCACACTAAGAAAGATGAATCAGTCAGGATGGCTAACCTCATGACTGAGGAGATTTCTAATATTAAAGAGTCATTGGCTTGGTGTGTCTTTTTGTGATGTCTTTTTTCATGTGCAAAAAGATCCGAAGCTACTCTTTTGACAATACTACTTGTAACAAAAGTTAAAATGTATTTAAAACAATATAGCCAATTTAATTTGAAATAATTCCATAATTTTCAGATTCAATATTTTCTTTTGTCTTTCATCCAATTACAATCTAGATAAATCAACAGAACTCTCTAGTCATTTTTTCAGTTTATATTGTAAAAAGGTTGCTAATATCATGTTTTGATTTTTCAATTTATTATTTTTTTAAAAAAAGATTGCTAATATGTTTTCATCTTTAAGCTTAGTTTGTAAAAATGTTGCTGCTAATATCATGCAATCATCTTTCAGTTTTTAAAAATACTGCTAATATCATATGATCATTTTTTGTATCCTTTGATCTTGATTTGTTCTCATCTATTTTTTCTAATGCCTTTTCAATTACATTTTTGCTGGTTATCTACTTGTATGTTCCATTTGCAGTAACTGTTTTAGTACTTTGCAGTGTCTTTATATATCTGGTTATTACTATATTATCCTCAAATATTAATTTCCAGTTTGATTCTGCTTATTGTTTGCAGTTTTTACATAAAACAAGTGGCTAAAGTTGAAGGTTTTGAAATATAAGCATTTTAAAACCAAACACATAAAGATGAGAATGTAATAGATATGCCAGAGCAAATATAAGCTGATTGTAAATGTAATAAACGTACAAGAAAAAAAATACAATCGGAAAACTTATTATATCATTATCAAACAATATGTATAGTTTTCATATAGTATGTACAGTTTCATATTTTTTATATTACCACACGTTAAAATAGAACTTTATATGATTTTAATGCGTGCAAGATAAGCCCAAAAAATTATTCTGCAGTATCCTATTAACTAATTGGCTGGGATCATGGGAAAACGTTTTTAACTTCGCTTCTAGAATGTTTTGCTTCAATGAAAATTTTTCGTGGTCATTTTTTGACTCAACTAATGAAAAGAAATTGAAGAAAATTATCTCGGTTGTCTGAATATGGATATATTACCCCCACAGGGGTTTGTTATGTCATGTATAACAATATCATCATAAGAAAAATGGCACAAAACTACAGGACAAGAACAACATCAAGAAGTAAAACTGAGGGTATTGTTTATTTGATAGCTGGTGGCGGTTGGGTGGGGGCGGTAGGGCTTATATCTGTAACATAGATATAAAATCCACTTTATATACAAGCATAGTTTAAATGTTAGCTTACAGAAGAAAATAAACTCACATCTGTTCACAGAAGAATCTGGATATAAATGGGTCTCCCAACTGATAGAATTTTATCCAACCACAGCATCTTTATGCAGTATATGTGGTATGCAAATCCGACTCAAAAAGAAATTTGTTTACTTCTTCTGTACAGTCTTTTGTTCTAAATCAAATACTGCAAAATCCAGTCACAAATGCATTGCAGTAAATGTGGGAATTTTTGCATCTAGAAATCCTATTTAACATGAAAATCGCACAACGTAATGTTTAGTTGTGAAAGTGACATTTTAGGGTAAACATGTACTCTAGGCCTACTGTGAACCGTATCAAACAAGGTGGCATCATATCGTATCAGATCATTCTGTCCTGAAAAATGATTTTGTGGTTATAAAATGTTCTGTTTATTCTGATTGAGCTATTTCTTTGATTTATAGCTTGCTTGTTTGATAAAGATTTTAACGTAGCTTTTAACAATTTTTCAGTCATATCGCTACGATGTCAGCAGTGTAACAGTTTATAGTGATGTCTAGCTGTGGCATCATGCCGCAGACATGTAGCATGATGTCCCACACAGTCACATTATCCTGACACCAGGCTGGCCAGTCCTAACATTAACCTCTTAAATGCTGAGCGCCAAGAGAGGCAGCTGTTAGTACCATTTTTTAAAGTCTTTGGTATGACTCGGCTGGGGATCGAACCCACATCCTCCAGCATCTAAGGCAGACACTCTGACCACTAGGTTACCGGAGCGGTGTAGTATGTCGGATGGAAAATAATATGCACCCATAACAGTATGTCTTTCAATACCTTTAAAGATATTATGCAGTTCAGTTATTGACAAAATACATTCATCATGCACCGATTCATGTTAAACTGTTCATAACATTGCAGTTCATATGTCATGGTAACAACAAGAAAGTGGAGTCTTGAACATATACCGAATGATAAAATAAAGTCTCCAATTTATGTTTTCAATTTTAATATAACTGTATAACTATACATGATTCTGAAAAGTACATATTGCTGCAAATATATTAATATACATGCGATACATGTAATATTCTGGCGGAAAAAGACTATAGGCAGAACCTCCCACCCACACGGAGCTACTGACAAGCTTTTTTCACATACCCACATTGACTAATTTAAAAACTCACGTAGACAGAGGTGAGATGCTTAAGTGATGTGTAAAAGTATGTGTTTTAGACTCCTCAGCCCCCACCTAGACCAGGTCTGAGTCCACCTATACTTAGCAGTAACACTTATTGTGATCTATCGTCACATCTATATGATTCTGTATAATAGTTATACTTCAATGAGCCATTGTGCCATCTCTATGATTCTGTATTACAATATACCTCAGTGATCTCTTACTCCATCTCAGTTGTACCATCAGTGTTCTATTGTCCCGTCTCTATGATTATTCCCTGTCTAGTGCCATAATAACATTACAAACTGTAAGATGATGATGAATATTAAAATATTGATTAGAAATAAAGTCAGAGACTGAAGCATTATAAAGTGACATGGTAACAAGAAAGAGGTCTCTAGAAGTTAGGGTCTGCATAAAACTGGCAACCACAACGTATTGACATTGTAGGTAGGTATATTAATTTCTATTCACAAATAGACGGGGCTGGCCAAGGCCCCAAAACCAAATAGATAATATTTGTTGGCATAATATCGCCCCGTAGACAATTTTGCCTTTCACAGGATTCGAACCATAAGTGCCAGGATGACAGTTTCAACACGCTACCAATTGAGCTATATGAACACATTATAAATATATAGAATTAGTTAATATATACTTAACAAAAACAGCATTATACATTTTCTGATTATGAAAATACGTAATTCTGCAATATTTTTTCTGTTATAAAAACGATATATTATAAATAATAAGAGAATGTGTAAATTTCTTATTTTACATTGCAGAAAAGTGAAATTTAATGATAGCAGTACATTCTCGCTAACAAAGTCAAGGCCAAACAAAGTGATAAAAAGATAAAATTATCTATTTTGAAAACATTATTATAATTAAAATCTAGAAATATATGATTTTATTTTCCATTAAAAGCTATAAAAGTCAAAATGCAATGTTTCTATAGCAACTGAGCGAACTGCAGACAAGAAGTCAATAATTCATATGAAAGTCTATGTGCATTCTTACTAGTGAATTATATGCTACAAACAAAAAGATACAAATATGAAAAATAGCAGTTTGCAGATCATAGATTTTCTTGTTTGTTTCACTAATTAATTAATAACTAAACTGTACAAATTAAAATCTCTCACATGATACATATATATATATATATATATATATATATATATATATATATATATATATATATATATATATATATATATATATAACCAGATTTAGGCATTTATCATCGGTCATATAGGGTTGGACTTTCAGCATATTATTTACGTAAAGGGCATTTCTAATTATTTTAACAAATACAGAACTGCACCAGAATTTGTAAGTTTTAAAAATGCTGTAATATATCTACATTTCACTAAGAAACAATAAAAACTCGATCTTAAATCTTGATTAAAAATTAGGAACAGATAAACAATATATTTAGCTATATAACATATATATTTTATGTTCGACAACTCGTGAATGATTTTAAACTAAACCCTAGCGTTATTGTCTCCCTTCTTAAACAATTGTTAGATACAGAAAAAGCTATATTTCTGCTCACATCGTAAATGTTTTTACACTCGCTATTAAGTATAAAATGTTTTCGTAATTATGCAGAAAAAAATTCAAAAATACCAGATACATTTCGACGACTTTCGAATAGCTCTTTCATCGCTAATTTGCTTAGAAGATATTTGCTACATTTTGCCAAAACTTTTGACCTGTCCAAATCTATGATGATTTTTGTGTACTCATTTTGGCTTATTGGATTATGTACATTTTTATATTTCGATGAAAGCGCATCTATTAAATTTTTAAGATCGGAAACTAGCTATCGTCTTTTCTAATAAGGGAAAGTTTTATTCTATCAAATTTACTAAAACAAATGCCTTAAACTTGCGTGAGAGTATTAATTCCGTCTTTGTAATACCTTTTATCATCGAAATTGCTTAGTCCACGTTTTATAATTGTATTCGTTTCAAGTTTATGATAGTTAGTCCTAATTACATTGGTTTTAATAAAGCTGACGCTATTGTTAATAGCAGCTTTGAAATCCTCAAAATGCATCATCCTTTTCACATACCCTTTGGGGATGCCTTTAGCTTTCTTTGTCAGTTTATTGTCGTCTAATATGACAACATACATTTTGCTTCTTAGTCCAACAAACTCTCTCACAGGTACAAACATAAACTCGTCTTTCATTTTTCAATAACTTTCTTGTTAGAATTATCATGAAATCCACTACAAGTTGGATAATCTGATAATCGAACAGATCTTTATTATCGTAAATATTTTGATAGACATTTTCACAATTTATGATGTATACCAGAGAATCCGTATCAGTAAATAGCAACTATAAATCTGGCCACATCTTTTTGGTAAAATGATAATGAAAATCGTACATCCAAGTAATGGGTACAGCAATGGGTAGTCCTATGGCTCCTTCATACGCTTCTCTTTTCATGGGTAAATTAGAAAAAGATTTCCTTAACAAAGTTTAATCCATCAGTCTGGTTTAGATATTTAGATGACATATTTATGATCTGGAACCATTCAACTGAAGAACTGGAGAAATTCATTCATCGCCTAAATCATTTTCATCCGACAATTAAATTTACTTATACTGCATCAAATACGCATGTTTCATTTTTAGATGTAAATGTAATTAAACATATTGATAACACTATTTCTACGAATATTCATGACAAAGAAACTAATATCCACCAGTATGTAGAATATTCTTCATGCCATCCAATGTCATGTAAAAACGGTATACCATATAGCCAGGCTAAAAGATACCGACGCATTATTTCAGATGATTGTCAATTACAAAATTCGTTGAATGATTTAAAAACATATTTCCAAAACAGAAATTATCCAGTACATATCATTGATTCTGCGCTGAACAAAACCCGTAATCTTTCTCAAAATGAGGCTTTAAATACAGCAAATTGTACAATGGAGAAAAATATAGTTCCTTTTACAATAAAATACAATCCTTCATTACCTAATATAGATCTTATAATTAATAAATATTGGAGTCTCCTAAACTTATCAAATAAAAACAGCGTAAAATCCCTTTGCAACAATAAGCCTATTGTTGCTTATAAGAGACCCAAGAATTTGCAAGATTTTCTAATTAGAACTAAACATACAGAAAAAAATAAAAAAGGACAATTCTCGTCATCTAAATGTAATAGACATCGATGCTCTCAATGTGCGAACATAAGAGAAAGTAGATTTTTTAGTAGCGCTAACACAAAAGAGACATTTTCCCTACGTTTTAACACTAACTGCATATCAACTAACGTGGTTTATTTGATAACCTGTCAAAAATGTAACATGCAATATGTTGGACAAACACTTCAACAAGTTTCTAAAAGAATTAATAGTCATCGCTTTCGTATTAAAAATTATAAAGATCCTCAGTTTTCATCTAATATTTCTACACATTTTAACACCTTTCGTCAATGTAGCATCTTTCATGCGTGCAATCCCCTTGTCACCATCGGTTTCAACACGGGAGCAACCGAACGAAGTAAAATGTTTCACAATTGTTTGTCTCTTTGTTTCAAACTCAAATTGGCAATGGCAGCATCGATGACACAATAAATTACAAAGATTTGGCAGAAAAGACGAATTGTGTTTTATGCACCTATTCTCCACACCACACCCACAAGGGATGCTTACGTAGATCTTCCAGAGAAGAACTAGTTGAAGGAGTAGCATGGTAGTGGTTGAAGAGCATAATGGTCACTTTTTTATAGTCGATGATTTGCGAAGCGTCGAGCCAAGAGTCAAAACTCGACGTATACCCTTCCCAATGTACTTTGACTTCTTTGACACCACGTTTTCTCACTTTTAGGGTTCTTCGATCAAGAATTCTTTCGATATCGTATATTTTGTCTTCTTGTTTGGTCACACGTTGTAACTAGGGCAAGCAAAACGTTCCTTTGCCGTTCATCTCTTCCAATTAATAGACGGAACAATGACGGCCACGCACTGGATCAGTGACACGAAACAATTCGGTGGTCCAGTTTGGTAAGTAACCTTTATTGAAAGTGCGTTTCGTTTTGCTAATGTGCATGCAATCTCCTACTATAGGTTCTTCACCTTCTTTGGGTAGGTTGTCGACGTAGACGTACCAAACCAGCGCTCGGAAACGGTCGTTTCGTTGTCGGGAGTAACTTCTTGGGAAGCACGTCTGATGTTCCGATGGTAAGATTGGTTGTACGCTTGGATAAGGTGTGGTGGGAATTCGATATATGTGAGAGAGTGTTGATGCGTAAATTACTTCCACATGCGTTCTTTCAAGGTGCGTTCAAAAACGATTCATAATGCTAGCTTTGGTTTCGGATTCTCGGTGGTGAAAACATTAATGCTACGTTTCTTTAATTCATTTTGGATAGCTTGATTCAGAAATGTGGTGCTTTTGCCGGTTTGCCATCAAAGAGGGTGATGACCACTTTGTTTCAATACAAGTGTGAGGGCTCACAACAATTCAATGATCAATTTTAAAGTCAATGGCACGACCGACACAAATTTGGAAAAGACGACGATGACCAAAACAAATATTTATTACCACGATTTTAGGTGTTAA